AGGGCACTGACAACAGCAAAAATCCAAAATAAGACTAAGAAAACAGATGGATAAAAAGTCTGCAGCTGCACTACCCTTTCCAGTAGTGCATAGCCATGGGGAAGTTCAGCCCTGTCTGCTGAACAATAGAACTAATTGTCATGAAAGGCAGGGAGTAGGACAGCTTCTCACCTATTTGAAGGCAGGGGTGATAGCAAGCACACAATATTCTACACATAATGGAAGAGCATGGGCAGTCCAGATGTGTTGGCATCTGTTCTTCCCTTTTATTTGGTCCATCTAATCTGTGCTTTTCTGATATGTCAAGCTTTCAGAGACATACCCCAAGTGAATACAGTGTACCCATGAGAAAGACAAACACACAAGCCAAGAAACAGCATTCCTCTAAGGCAACTAAACAAGTAATGCATTGTTGCAAAAAGCACTCAGCTAGCATTGAAGTAAACAACTAGAAAATGCCTTTTTATAAAGTTGGAAGTAGGAGCAGATGACCCACTTATTGTACAACTATATTTATGCTTGGCAGCTGCATTTGGGTTCTCTTCTTTGTTTACAGCTTTTATAATATGAACTACTCAGTGTAGCATATTTCAAAAATAATTAAAAGGTACAAATACACAAAACTTATTAAAAGGTACAAATATACAAAATGTGCTAAACTTGAAACGAAACTTAAAATTGCAAGAATGCAATGCCTAGTCCCAAATGTGCATCCAGGGAAAGTGAGATAATATTCAGGGTGATGAGTCATGGAAGAAGACTAACCTTATCAGGAGCTACAGAGCATGAAATGCATCTCACAGGAGAAACTCCTATTTCACAACATTATGCTCATGCAAATGAGTGGTTTTCTTTCATATCAGAAAACAAAGTCTGCTGATGAATTATTTAGTTGTGAATTTAATCCTGAAAAGTCTGATGGCTCAATAGCTAGTGCTGTAAAGGAAGTTTTGGACTCACATGCAGCTGCTGTATGTTTGACATAGGCCATGAATCCACACACAAAACTCCATCTAAAACTGTCTCTTCAGAGTTATTTGATATTTAAAAATCCTAGGAAAGATAAAACAGGCAGAATAAATTCTGGATTTAAAAACTGCATTAAAAATTCAACCACATAAAAATTTTCTTACTCTATAACCTCAGATGTATTAGCATAACTATCACATGAATCTTTTTTTCAGATGCTAGTGGCTTATTATAGGAACACAGGGTGGAGGGTGGATCCTCAGCTGGTGAAAATCATTAGAGCTGCACAGAAGCCAATTTATGCTAGCTGAAGTTCTGGTCCATAAAATCTCTTCTAAACCTGAAAGAACATCTTGTACTACAGTATTATTGGCCTTCAGGTGATTGAAAACCATCTTGATGAACAGTGTGGTCTCAGGGAAAAGGAGGACTGTACGCCTGACAAATTTGTGCCCTGTGTTCCTTTATTTAACTCGATTAGAAAGATACATTTAAGTGAAAACTTGCATGGTACAATGCATCATTAGTCACATGCTGCTTCTCAATAGTGAAACCATCAATTTTATTTCAGATGTGAATATGTGCAAGAGGTCTAAGTATAATTGGAACATTAGCCAAGAAGCAGATGGGGATTGTGATTGAGAGTTTACCTCCTGGGTATATATTGTACAAGCAGCATCTCAGCAGAACAGAGAAGGTTATCAAGTCCTCTTACAGTATATGCAAACTAGATATAAACACACCAACACAAGCTAGAAATCGGGCTTAGGACACTGTGTGTGTTTAAGAAAAGATATCATTTCATGTAAAGCAGGCAAAGCATTGGCCTTCATGCAATACTAAACATGCCTCCTATCTGTTTCACAGAAGAGTAGTTTGGATTCTGTATTTCTAAATTTAGAATGCAGATCACTACAGTTGGTATGAGTGATTTCAACGTGGGCAATGAAGTAATGTGCAAATGCTAGTTGTTATGGGAAAGAGAGATCATATCTACAGAATAGCTCCTTTTTTAAAAGGATCTTTTAAATTTTAACTCTAACTTATTTAACCATAACCATATCAAACCTTACAATTAAGAACTTAATTTCAGATATTTTTTAAGCATCAAGGTTTTTGCAAATACCAAATTATCCACTTGCCTTACCCAGGGCATGAGTAACAAACATATCCAGTTCTAAAGAATAAACTTTACACTCACTCTTGACAGTAACATCAGGACAGTGTAGCTTGCATATTCCAGGTGCCATCAACCACACAGCTTTCCTTATAGTCCCTAAGATTTCTGTTCCCTGATTTTCTAGTGCCTGTGTTTATTCAGCTGCTGTAAATTTTGTCACTGCCAATGACTGCAGCAGAGCAGTCTTATAGTTCATATGGCCCCAGCAGACCAGCAGACAACTATTAGTGCCCCAGTTTCACTCAGCATCCTCCATGAGTGACTAATAAGAAGACCCAGAGCATCTTCTTTTTTCCAGAGGATTCTCTCTTTTCCACAGTGATTTCCAGCCAGAATATTGTGGCTTCCAATCACTGCACCTCACGCAGATCCAAATGTGGCTGGAAAAAAGCCATGCCAGTATGTGATGCAACGTACTGCCAGTAATTCTGAGTAGCTACTGCACAGCCCCTTCTGATAAATACCTATCTCTGCTCTTTCTATTCTCATAATGTACCAAAGACTCTTTCTTGTTATACTTTTTACATCAAGAACTAATTCCGAAAACAATTTAGGTTATATATTCATAGAATTTTATATCTGCAATAATGATACAAACAGCAATTAACCCATCTGAGAGAACAGATCAAGCAAAGTAGTTATTAAGTGACCAGTTAAACACACTGAAAACATCAAAGATGCTAATTTCAATCTTTGGATTCATAGGGAAATTATTTATTGGGAGTTTCTTACCTCTAATGTTCATTACATTGCAGGACACCCATTCTATTCTTTATGAGTAGATAATAAAGCCAATTGGATTTAGTCATGTACATCAAATGGAGACGAAAAGAAAACCCAACCCCACACTCCAAAAACACATTGTGTGACAATGCTGTAGAGGCCATTGGGAGCAGCTCCTTCCTCTGGAACACCATCACATCTGCTCTCTGTGGACTAATGTGCCATAACATGCAATTTCGTGCTACATAAACTCATCCTGAATATGCCCTGTGAAGCCTCTCGTTCAAATGCTGTACAATTATTCCCACAACACTGCTTAGGGCCGTCACCATTATCAGTGATACTTTGTGAACACTGAAAAGACAAATAAATATTGGCAATGGCTGATGCAGAATTGCCAAATGAAGTGATAACCTGCCAAAGGAAGGCAGGTTTCTCCTCCTTGTTTTCCCAGTTTTCCTCTTACCACTTTAAGCAATCCTTCATAAGATGCTCATAATATCATTCAGGTTCCCTACACAGGTGCTACAGTGGGAAGTAAATCCAAAGACTGATTCCTCTACTCTTTATTTTCAGGTAATCTCTCCACAAAGATCCAACAGCCCATTCTGTCCCTAACAGATCTCCCACCTTGTTCCAGAACAATTCCTGTCTGCGGAAAATAGAGCTTGCAATCTTTCTCCCCCAAATGGTCTTGTGTCTATATCACCATTCAACCTGTCAGTCAGATCTCTCATCTTCACATCATCTTCAGCTAACATTTTTCTAAGTTCACTGCAAGGCTGTGCTAAATCACACCAGTCATTTCCACTAGTGTTAACTTTGCTAAAATAGAGCATTTCCTGTCCATCATCACAGCCTAAATTCTTGTCTTGTTCTTTCTTCTTGTCCAAGTTCTATCTCCTGTCTTCTTCTCTTACTCACTGAAACGCTGCCCTGAAGAGCATTTATCATTTATCAAGAGTAATTTTGGTCCTATCACCTCATTTTCTGTATTTCCTCTTTTTTTAACGTACTTTCAGACACACACTGATCAATCAGTCTCAACAACGCTTCAGATGTTGGTGTGCCAAGATCACTACCAGCTGGGGTGACTGGTGTGACCTTAGAGATTGTTTGTAGGGTTTTCTAGCTGTCTGCTGTATCCTAGACTCAAAGCTCCTTGGAGTGAGCAAGGGAAGGGAGTGATCTGCACTTTTCTCTTTTATTCATGATTAGTAGAAATGCAGGTTGATTTGCAGCCCATCCCAAGGCCTGTGCTGCCACAGCAACATCATAATTGGCACTTCAATCCTTTAGAATGTGCTAGAGTACTTCTCAAGAACTGATGTGGGAAAACTAGGATGTTCCAGACTGATGCTAAGGTGACCCAGAGGACACCATTGTGTCCTGCTCATTTGTGAGATCCAACTTAGTGTAATACTGGCTGCCTATCCAAGGGTAATTTTGGTCCTCTCACACTTTGCACTGCACCTCTATTCCTTGTGGCATATACACACAATGCTGTAATTAAAATTCTACTCTGACTTCCAGTACAAGCCACACCATATTAGTGGAAACGTTTTCTCTGAAAGGACTCCTACATTTACTACATGCACTTTCTTATAATTCTTTTACTGGAAGTGGAGAGAGGCATTGGTTAATTGTGCTTCATTACTAAATTTTGTATGTGTTAAAATATGTTCACTTAATTTGAAACACTTAATGATTATCCAAAATCTGATACCAATTTTACTAATGAAATAAGAAAGGGTCTCATATATATAAAATTTTGATGCTTCCCTTGCTGAGACTTGTCTATGTTAATGAAATATTTAGATTAACCTTCAGTTCTTACCATTATTTTGCAATGTGTTCAGACTGAGCTGTTGACCAACTGAATTTGAGCTGGCTACCCATGGCCTTTACCAGTATTTCACAGAACACATGCCCTCAAGCCCTCTGTACTCAGAGCTGAGCACTGTTCAGTGAGGTAGGAAGATCCAGTTCCAAATTATTTCTGCTGCAGGTGACATAAAATGAAAATGAAGAGACTGAAAACAGGCAAATTCTATTTTCACTTCCATAAAAGGAAAATCCAGGGTAGGGGACAGGAGAATTCAGGGTTAATGATTAATGGGCAAAGAATTTCTTGCAAAGCCCTGCTAATTCTTTCCTTTTCCCATCTCTTGGTAGAATTTAGCAGAACTCTCATTCAGAGGAACAAAAAATGAAAAGTTTGCAACTTCTTTCATTTTTGTGGCTTTCTTGTGTCATCGTCTCAGCAAACACATATGGAGGAAAGAAAAAAGGTAATATACTATCATATATAAATAACGATCATGAACCTTTTTTTTTAAATGTTTATGCTATAAAAATTTAGTAGTGTTGATTGATGGATCATCAGCATGTTGTGTTTGGGTGCTATCTTCCCTTAAACTATGGCATTTATAACTGACGGTGTTTATTGGAAAATGCAGTTGTTTGTAATTACAACAAACATTTCTCAATAGAAATCCATACATTTGAGACTATATTAAGGTACTGTGACCCTTAATAAACTTCTGATGAAGCTAATTTTAAAATGTATTTGTTTGAAAATATACACTGGAGTGATATTGTTATAATCCTGTTGGGCTGGAAGTATTCTATACAACAGATTCAGTCTCCTGCTATGAATCATTTCTAGCTATCTGAGAGTGTTTAAGCTTTTATTTTCTGAGTTGCCTTTCATCTCAGGTGGGATGAACATCTTGGAGTGAAAGAGGTACATCTGCAGTATGTTTTGTAGAGCAATATTGTGAAGGATCTTGGTCACTGGCATTGCCTATACATTTGTGTTACTGCACATTGTGTCAGTACCTGTGGGACTGTTGAGTAAGAGCATCACAAAACTGCGTTTCTTAAAACCTCTCAGATGTGACTGAGAGAGACAGCTCTGTGTTTGGCTTCATGATTGAGCCATACAGAGCAAGAATGAGTTTTCCTTCTTACTTAACCACATTTCTAATAGTCTGAAGGGGATAAATGTAGTTTTCTCTTTAGCTGGAAATAAAGCAAGATATGCACATTCACAGAAGTATGGCCTCTTTCAGTAGCTGTGTTTTGTATTTATGTTAATTTGTATTAACAGTTTTAGAAATCATTTGCTATAAAAATACTTTGTGTGCAATAGGCACAGTGATTTCAATCTACAGGAGGCAGGACCACCTTTCTTTTATTCTGCACATTAAATTTCCCCTTGGGTTTCATTTTGAACAATATAAAATCCTTGAATCAAAAAGTGTAAATTGCACTCAATGCCATAACTTGGCCTGGTTTACCAGACAGCAAGATCTGCATATCCTTAACAGTTGGTGAACCTTACAAAGCTGTTTAGAAACCTTGATCAAATTCTGTATTTTTGAGAGAACCAAAAATTAGAGCAATAACTTCAGTTTGAGGCATCTCATAAAATCTTTGCCCAGATCTATCCAGATTCCACTGTGTGGTTAAAATTTACTTCACCATAAACACAAACACAAGGCAGGGAGAGGAAATAGTGGCACCCCTGTTCTTTCACAGTCACAGGGCTTGCCTTATGCAGCTCCATTCCCCCACCCCCCCAGCTGGGGCACTGTTCATAGCAAGGTCAGTCACTTCACTCTCACCGTCTGCCTTTCCCCTCATGACCTAGGGCTCCTGTATCAATGGACTTCACTTGTTTGCTTATTGTTTCTGCACTTTAAAACCTCCCTTGTGACAAAACACAAGTCACAAGTCATACTGACACTAGCAGATATGTCCAGTTAGTAGTATGTTGAGGCAAGAGACTGATTTCGGAAGTAGAGCAGGTTCATTTCTAAAAATGCAAGAAAAGGCTGCTGTATTTCCTTGTCGAGGCTATCCACAGCCTAACTAGATCTGCTACACAGGGTAGTTACAAGGTTAAAGGACCTGGGTTTCCATTACGCTGAACCTGGACCCTCATCTCCTGTCAATTTTAAATCAATCCAACTCTAATTCCAACTATCTATTTGCATTAATGTATGTTTCTGCATTTTTCACTCCCTTGTTATCCTTCTCCAATCCAACCTCAGCCACACCAACCTTGCCACACCAACCTTGTCCAGAAGATAATGGAACTCCCAGTTCTCAAACCCTTGCCTTATTTCTATGGCCATTCGATTTGCCAGCAGAGCTCTGCTGGTTCTGTCTGTCCTCAATCAGCTCCGGTGTGTTGGCCACACTTAGTAATCTCAAAGAGTTTTTTCTTCATTTCAATTCCCAAGGAGGTAAATTCTCTTCCCACAATGGCATATGCAAATGACAATAAGGCATTACCTCTCACTAAGGAAAGGCAGCAAAGTTTTTAGTTCCACATAAGAGCCCTTTAAATGCTGTCAGATGGAAACAGCTTTTGATGAGCATTGAATTTATTTTACCTGGATACCCTTGCACCATGGAGCTCCCTTGTTCTTCCTTTAGCAGGAACTGCAGCAATGAACAGTATAACTAGAAGGGTCTGCAAAGCCTTCTCAAAGATGAATGTCTGGTATATAATTCCAGCACAAACAATTGCCTGTTCTACTCGTTCATTTGTACCCAGAAAATAACTCTGCTTCAATTTTTTTTCTGTATCGTTGTATCCACCTGCACAATAAAGGAAATTGCATTACAAAATCAGGATTTATAGGAATTAGACTGCAGTGGGTAAATCAATTTAGATAAGTGTATGTAAATAATTCTCATCAAGTTATATAAAATATACATACTTTAGGTTCTTGTTTTATACTTTATTACATAGAACAAGATTTGCATTACCAAGCAAAGACAACATTCCATTTAAACCACACACAGGGTTATTTTTAAAAAAACACAGAGGGTTTCTGAAATATCATGGTTTTCTTGTACATTTATATAGAAGGAAAGAAGTTTGTAATTTCTGGCAAAGGTTCATTATCTAAAAGCAGCATCCCGGAACCAGAAATAAGCACCTAAAAATAACAACCCTGAAGTTAAGCCAAGATGATTCTTCCTAAAAGCATGTGAAAAATTCTTCAACATAAGCTCCTATTTATTTTGATTCTTCTTCTGTAAACATAAAACTAGGTGGGAATATATTCCACTATTCCACTTCGCTGTGCAGAGCAGAGTTCTCCAGCAGCTGACATGAAAATGCCTGCTATTGAGCTAGCACTTCTTACTTGATAGTCTCACAGCTGGCAGGTGAGCTGGAAATATTTTTGCCCAAAAGAGAAAGGTAACATCTTAGTTGTCATCCAGTTCTGGTATGCTAACATTTTAGTAATATAACACAGACCACAGGAATGGATTACAGAGAAACCTGAATAGCTGTTACATTTTCTTTATTCCCCAAGAGTATTGCAGAGATATAAAAGGTATGTTTGGTATATCAAATCCTCCAAAGCCTAGATAAAATTCCTCAATAAAATGTAGTGTATAGAGTATACACTATCAGATTTGAAAAATGACCAAAATAATAATTTCTACATGATGCTGAAAAACTATGAGAAAGGTAAGAAACCCTGAAGATTCAAATGCCATTTTAACTGCAGAGGAAGAGAGCTAACGTCAGCTAAGATGAGGACATGGTTGCCTTTGACATGGAAGGTCAATATCACTTTTACAAGTCTACCCTAAATGTAAAAATGTAGAGAAGACCTTCATTTTAACTCCTTGAAGCATATTCAGTGTAATAATAATCTGTGCCTTAAGTTTTCATTAATTCTGTGTGATTCAGGTTTATATTAAATGATGGAAGAACATAGACTAAAGCCAACAAGGTTGCAGGATATTAGTAATCCCAGCCTACTTCCAGTTTGAGAGAAAGTGCTATGAAATTAAACTGGCTCCAAAAATTATTGAAAAAAAATATTCTTTTCCTCTCCCTCTTCTTCATATGCAGAAATACACCATGATTACAACTCATAGAAACAAGACTAAAAACCATTAATATTCCTCATTTACTTCACTGCAGTCTGTGCATCACCTCTGAAGTTGAAGTTCACATCACTTCTAGTTAGGTCATTTAAACAGGGACTCAGGAGCTAAATTTTATGACATATCAAAATATTGGTCCAAGAAGTCTTGGAATTTGGAAGTTCAGATGCCTGGGTACTAAGCAGTTACACTAATGATCTATGTTATGATATGAATAGAAGTTCTACAAAACTATTTGCTGTCATTTTCTGACTGGCTATGTTTCAGATACACTGTATCTGTATACAGCTTTTGCAATGCTCTCAGGAGTCTCAGAATTCTACCAAGTTTCTATCACCTAAACTACTTATTGTTCCTTTTGGCACGTAGAAAAGCGCACAAATATAATTTCTGCCATAGATTTTCACTACAGAGTCCAAAATACAAGTGTAGTCTAACAGAAGGCCCTTTGCTTTTCCCATGACGAGAGACAATAACGGGAATTTGACTGACAAAGGAACTATCCATGCACAAAACAAGTTTCAATTTTTCTACTAATTCAAGTGACTGAACATCTTAATGAGGAGCTTAAATTCACCAGAGGATTGTAATTCATATGACTTCAGCATTACATTCTTCTGACCACTGTTGTATGAAGAGTGGTTGAACTCATATGACACTTGAAAAACTTGACCTTACAGAACAGTTCTTGGTAAGATGGCACCACAATCTAACTACTTACCTCCTTTTCTCTCAAACTAGAGAAGGTTATAGTTAGTTTTAAACATATATATATAGTTCTAATGGAAAATAAGTATCAATAAAAACATTCATTATTAAAGAGAACATTTTTCTTTTCTGCCTCTTTTGTGTTTCACTCTAGGTTCATAGTGCACATTTCATTTTGGAAAATGTAGTTAAGCCCAATCCGTGTGGAGCTGCAGGGATATTAATAGAGTTGCATCAACAGCAGTACAATACTGATGATGTAGCTCATAACACCATATGGTCCCCTTGGGTGGCCTTAGCACAGTGACCTTTTTTCCTATATGTTATCTAGAGCTTAGAGACTCTTTGCTGAAGGTAAGTCAGGATCCTCATACAGTGGAATAGCTTGGCAGCAGGTGGATGGGCCAGCAGCCACTTCCAAGCAGCATGATTAAGATTTCCTGGCAACATAAGCAATAACTGGCAAAAGAGACAGAAGGGGTCATCTATCTGCACATGCCAGGCCTGGGTGCTAAAGTTCACTGCTTTGGCAATAGACCAAATGTGAAATACAGCTCTTGCAAAAAAAAAATTGTTTAATGTCTCTATTCCAAGATTTAAAAAAAAAAAAAATTACCACTTTCACACTTTGTAGCCTTTCTTCTAGAAAAATATGTTGGTT